GTTCTGCCACTCTGTCCCTATTTTGAATGGGGTTAATAACAGTGTTTTGATGTTGTTTGTTGTTTTTGTACATTCAATTGCAACTTTTTCAAAATGTCCATACTATCTGCACAATACAACTACAATATGATTAAAAGAGTATTCCACTGATTTATTATTGCACTATAACATTGCTGGAGCAATGATGGATGCAGCAAATATAATTTATTTTATTACACAATTCTTCTTCCTTGTCAAAGCAGATCATTTCCTACAATGCAACTTCCGTTCTGACAGTTCTGTGTGTTACGCTAACAGCTGCTAATGTATCCTTGAACAGCTAGCCCCAAGTAGAGATGATGTAAAGAGGGTCTACTAAGCTCACTTCTTTCTCCACAACCCTAGACTTTATTCATTTTCAAATTTGTAGTTTGACACTGACACTGACTCAAGTGACAACACTTCACACAGCTCCCTCTGGAGCCACACAAGGCTTTTCACATATGCTGTAGTACTTCCCAAGAGTTTGATGTGTACTTTACACTTCCCCACTTAAGGTTAGAAAATATTTGTGGTTAAGGCAAATAAACTATAGTTAAGATATGGTTAAGGTTAGGAAATGTTTATTCCAAGTCTGCAACTCCATCCTCCTGCAGAATCAGGTATGACTTACATAAAAGATGCACTGCGTCATCCATTAGCACTGAACGTTGGCACTGGACATAAACCATGAGGTGCAGAATTGTACAGTGTGGAAGTAGTAGTAGTAGTTCCCAGGGACCAGAGGATATTCAATATGCCCACGGATGTAATATTAATAACATCATTCAATCATTCATTTAGCCCTAATCACTCTAAATTACAAGTAAATGACCTTCAGTGTAAGCATGAGAAGATGCAAATGTAAAAGAGACGGTAGAATATGAGATCGGATGCGTTTGAATGAGACAGTGATAAAAAGTGTACAGTGATGGAGTGACAGAAGGACTGCATCTGGTGCTTTCTGAAGCACTTACCACCGCTGTTAGTCAGCTCAGTCTGCTCTCCTCCTCATTAGTCTCAGTGTGTAAGCTACATCGTCTGCTGCCTACTTCCAATCTGCAGCACTGGTGTTGCTGTTGGCGTCAACGTACTCAAAAGTCTTCGTATCTGTCTGCCCCAGATTCACCCGCCGCTTGGGGNNGGGGGGGGGGGGGGGGGAGGAGTTGTGCTCTACTTTGCTTTAGGTTCCCAGTAACACTGTCTAGTTTTTGTTTTCCTGTCAAGCAAAACTTACCGCTGTGTGTCTGTACATGCACGAGTGTGTGTTTGAAAATGTGTATGCCGGCTGTATCTCATGCCAGTAGAATGGGTGAGCCATCCTGCCTGGAACAATCTGACTTGTAGTGGATTTACATTGGTTTCAATGGATGTGGTGTATAATGGTCTCACTGCGCTTTCTGAATGCTGCAAACCCCACTAACACACTTCCAGGCTTAAATCATTAGCATGCTCGTCTGTGTGTTAGGCCTGTGTGTGCTGCTCAACCAGTAGCCTGCTATGGGGGTAGCACACACCAAAAGTCAAATAAATACTAATAATCTGACGTCGGAAGGAGGGAAAAGAAGAGAAGAGGTGGAAGAGAAGCTGGATGAAATGCTGGCCTTTTCTGTGAGGTCCTGGCAACACGTATACGGAATTTTTTTTAAAACAGACATAAAGAGATATTACATTATCATGGTTTTACGGTTTGCATGTGGAACGAGATGCCAAAATGTGGAGGATGATTTTCAAAAATATCTGTATACATGTGGACCAGATCTGAGTTTAGGGGGAAAGACACACATTCCTCACATACAACCAAGCAGCAACCAGACACCCTGGGATTAATTAGCTACACAATCCTTTTAACAAAGCTTTTTGTTTCCAATTTGCAGATGATTTGTTCTGTTAGAAAACAGAGAGAGAGAAAGCAACTGAGCTGGATTATTGTTATATTAAGCTGGTTGTTTTGTATCTAGGAGTTCATGCACCACACAGTAATTTCACTGGAGTGATCGCCATCTAAGCTGCTGGTGAAGAAAAAGAAAGGAAACAAATATTTTGATAATTGGAAGGTACAAGGGTAGGAAGCCTGAGTTTTGTTTGTTTGTTTGTATGGCAAATAATGTATCAGTGTGCAAGTGAAACAGAGCAAATGAGAAATGTGAGTGCTTGTTTGTGCTTCTGTACTTTCTTATGAGGAGGAATTTGAGTTTTAAACCTTGAACAGAGGAATGTTTGGGGAAGTGAGGACATTTTATTGTGAGACCTTACATCTTTGAACGGCTGTTAGAGTGTTAAAACTTGAGCATGTAGTTGCACTGGCTAAGGTTAGGCTCTGGAGAATGCATCACGTCAATGAGGGTCCTCACAAATAAAACCAAGCGTATGTGTGGCTGTGTGAAAGTGTGTTAGCTGAAAGATCTCCAACTTCACAGCTCAAACGTTAAAGCATCACATCACACACACACACACACACACACACACACACACACACACACTCACTGCAAAACAG